AGGAATGCACACAAAGAGATTTCTGCCACTGACAGGTCATTTTTCTAGAGCTTAAAATATTGAGGATTTTTTTTTCTAAAAAAAAAGTCTGCTTAAAAGTCTTACGTGTGACAAGGTCAAAAACTGGAGTTTTACCCCAAAACTAAGTATTTTATTGAGGAAATAAAAAGAGCAACTCAAAATAGCCCTTCTGCTTCCTAGAGGGATCCAAATGCTGACAAAGCTCACAAGTGAAAGAGCACCACAGCTGATAATACCACTTTCCTTTGACTCTATCCAGCACCAACTTATGGTAACTTTTAGGATAAATCCAGGTATAAAAGTAACACAAAGCCTTGCAGATCAGGACTAAAGGTTCTAGGCAAGTATACAAGAAGGAACCTAACCAGGACCTATTTATAACAAGTATGGCTGAAAGCAGCGCTGTTTAGCTCTAGTTTTCGTGTCCAGTCGCCTCCCCTTAACAAACACTGGCAACACAAAAACTCTCTCTAATAAAACCCACATTTAAGATAGCTAGGATTCCAGTGGTAATTTTAACGGTATGTGCTCTATTTCTCCTCTCTACAATGCAGCCAGAGGATCCCTATGTGAATTTGTTACATGTGAATTGCACTTCCAGGAGCCAGGCAAACACATGTACAAGTTAGCTGGATGGGCGAGTCACACGCATACATTTGCAGCTCCTGATGTGAGTTCACGTGGAGATGCATTTCCAATGAACAGGAAAAGTGCTCAAACAGCAAGGCACTACTCCAACCTGCGTTTGGCCAAAACATACTGGTGTCTCGGCTGCAAGATATTTTCCCCCATCTCTTCACAGACACTTCAAACATAAACAGTGACGTTAGCAAAGCCAAGTGTTAAGTCCCTCGGGAGGACCCTTATGGTCCTTTTGCTGTGTCAGTAATGCTCAGTGTTGCACTCGGCACGAGCAGCATTATGGATTTTAAATCAAAGCTAATCAAAGATTCATTAACAGGCAATACATTAACGCAACATATAACTACCAGCCACTTGGTGTCATTTAGCAGCTCCCAAACAGGCTGTGAGCACCGTCAGGTCAGGAGATTTCTCCAGGGCTTAACAGGATAGGTCAGAAGAGCAAAAAATGAGTGATGATATCAAGTAAAAGAACAGATGTAACCAACTTCAACACACCTGTCTGAGTCATACAGCGTATGTAAATCCACTCCCCTCACAGGTGGTTTGGGTGCAGATTTTAAAAGATGAAAAAAGCAGCCAGTTGGTCAACTTAAAACAGAATTCCCCATTTTATCACTTCTGTGAGCAAACAATGATCTTTTCCACATCGTTCAAACACAGACATTTTTGTGGCTTCACCAAGAAAGTGTAGCCTCAAAATCCCAGATGCCTCTACCAATTTCAACCCCGTAACATTTCCATCGGGTAAAGCAGCATTTTTACTTCCATTTTGCAGATGTAGAGCTGATGCATAGCAAGAAGAAAAGCACAAGGGTTAGAAGCATTTAACACCATTTTTTTTTTCTCCCCTCCCAGTTAATGGGAACTGGAGCCAGTCAGCAATCCCATTTAGAGCGACTCGTGGTGCAAAGGCACAGCAAGTCCTGAACAGACTTGCAGTACTTCAATGCCACAAGGTTATTCTTCCTGCTTATCGGACAGCACATCGAGTCACAGAAACAGGAGTGTCTTTCTGAAACTCCTTCAAAGAAATACACCTTCTGCTGAAATGCTCCCATTGCTTTTCCAGATTATTCTGGGGAAAAAAAGTCAACAGCGGGAATGTAGGAGCCACAAAGTAATGCTGCAGGGAGCTGGCAATCAGCATTCTGTGCTGTAAACAGATAGTGACACTGTCTGTGCACTCATTAAAATCAGCTATGATGAGGTATTGAAAAGATGAAGAAAATAATAATAATAGAAGACTAGATAAATATAACTCCATTTTCTAGTACAGAAAAAAAATAATAAATCTTTCTTCCAATGAAATACTGTGCAATAGCAGCAAGACTAGAAAGAGGTAGGAAGAGGGACTCAAAGCAGCTAATAACAGCCAAAATAGCCAATCTTCAAAGGCAAACTCTGCATGGCTCTCCCAGAAGCCCATGTTTTCAGCAGCTTTCAAGGATTTTGGAAGTCTTTGAAGTATAATGATGCCAGTTCTAAACTCCTCCTTCCACACTCTGTATTTACCCTACAAGACTACTTGACAAAGCTTTCTTTTCTTGTCCAGTGTATGAATGCAGCGTTTCTTCTAACCACAAGTATTAGGTGCTTTTTTTAGTATCTTTCCTTAAGAAAGGTCTTAAGTCCATTTAAAATGCATTTGCCAACATTAAGCCTTGCTTACATCATCCAGCTGCATGTATCCTCAAAATCTAAGCAGATCAGAAGTAATGAAAACCTTTCCAGATTAAAAATTATGCAGTTGCATGATACCACAAACTGGCTTCAATCCAGATTTTTGCAGATGAAAAGCAAAGAGGAAACATTCATGAAAGCATGAATGTTGGTGATATTTCAACTTAATTCCATCCAACACTGCTTACAGCAAGTACTACAGACGGATTTGCAGTAAACATTTAACGACAATGAGGTAGAAGGCATCATATAATCACGCTCTGCACTGACACAGAGTATTTTTTACACTAAGTAAGCAACATAAGATCAAGTTAATGTGGAAATGCTGCTCTTTTACTTACAATGATATATCCACGAGCCTTTCGGCCTTTAGTGCTCAGCGTGTGTCACACACACAGCAGCTACAAATCCCTGGGCTCTGCAAACACTTGAACACATGAATAATTTTCATCAAGCAGTAAAATCCCTTCTTAAGTCATTGGGACTTACTTCATGAGTATGCATTTGCATTATTATTACTATTCTATCTGCTTCACAATATGTCCTCAGTGCAAGGTTATGACAAGATTAATGAAATCCAGGCAACTATCCATAGCATCGTCTTTCAATTTCAGTACCTCAGCATGAAATAAGGAGACTGAAAAGATGTATTTATAATGACTTTTTAAAATATATGTATATATAGTCCTGAAGTATATTTAATTGGTACTGTTGCAGACTTGCATACTGATTTTTAAAGTTCACTCATAAAATTTAAATTAAGCTGGTGACACTGACCAGTTTTCACAGCTGAAATACAGTTTAATTTTGCATAACAAACAGTAACCCATTCCACTAAGTTTATTTCCCAGTAAATTCATGATGTAGATGCTACAAAGCACAGAAAATACAGACAAGTAGGGAGAAAAAAGCCACAGGACAAAGCTGCTTTGTTTCCAGAGAAGTTCATCACCCTATATTCTCTTTGGTGCATAGAGTGGATACTCCAGTATTTAAAAATACTACCAGGAACCATCTCATGAAAAAACACATACAAGAAAAAAAAAGAAAATTAAAAAAATCACAGCCTTTAACATTTTGAAGATGCAGCAAAGAAATCTATACTTGTACTTCTAGAGTATGTTCATCACCATAATTGTTGCATGTTTTGATACAATATTCAAAATACTGTAACATTATCAAAATTATTTAGGTTGTAAAGTAGTCAGTTTTCCTTTAGCAGCACATTCATCTAACACTTCTGCTGGCTTTTCCTTCTTTGTTTTGCAGATAACAAAAGAAAATTTACAGATACATAAGTAAAACAGTTTGTTTTGATTTGTTATTTTATCAATAATGTTGAGCCTTCCAGAATAACCACCCAGTAGCTGAAGCTCAAATTTGGGGCTTTAGAGACAATTCCTTCAGAATTTTTCTGTTAGATAAAGTCACCAAGAAAATTCATTTTTCCAGCTATGAAGTCTTTTCCTTCAGCTTTCCTTCATTACTTTCCTTCCTCATAAAATAATGACAAAAGGCAAAACTAACAAGCTAAAAAAAAAAGCCACCAAGAAGGAAGTTGTGGCAGGTAACTATGACAAAGACCTCTTAACCAGACTTTCACTGTCTATAATGATAAGAACACAAACTTGAAACAGTGAGTTGTAAAAGAAGTTGTCTAAATTTAGTTTCAAAACCTAAACCCAGGGGTTCACAACAAGCAGGGTTCTCCCAGTAGGGTTTTTACACCATCAGCACCACCCTACCTCCTCCCTTTCTGTTCCAGCTGTTAGCTCAATTCACAGCTTAAAAAAAAATAAATCATAATCAGACACTTGCTGCCAAATTATGATCCGGGATGGCACAGTTTAGAAGGGAACCTACTCAAAACCACTGTTATGTTTCTCACAAAATCCAATATGCACAAAAGGAAAATGCAAGGATCAATTCTGTACCTCCAGTTCTGTCTCTCTTCGATTGATATCATCTGTAGATTGATTCAGTTTTTCCAGCTCCCCCTAGAAAGAAAGAACGATAAGTCAGACACATATTAAGAAATCAGGAGGGAAAGAAGTGTCTGAGAAGGCTATTCAGAATCTCCGCTGCAAGCTCACAAGGGCTGTGGCTTACAAATTCAGTGAAAAGAAGAAACTTTGAGACATTTGGAGTAACTTTGAAACTGGTCTTCTATTTTGCTACTTAGAAGAAAAATAATCAGAGAGGCTCTACAGTTTTGTTTTAAGGCAGTAGATTTCCTGTTCTGGCTTATTCCTTACTATTAAAAATAAACATAAGTTACAGTAAGTTCTGTCTTGTTAATCGTTATCTGCTAGTTTCCAGTGAGATACACACACACCCCCCTCCCCTCCCAAAAAGAATTCGCATAAAGTTGGTGCTGTCACAGAAGACACACAGTGAAAGCAGAGCATTGATTAGAAACAGCACTAGAGACATTGTACTCTGGATTTTGGCAAAACATTTTAGACTGCACCAGTCAATGGGGCATACAACTATGTTTACTTAGTCTGCCGTCTTGCCAACGTTTTGATTTCTTAACAGCAAAAACAAAGGTGTTAAAGCCCTTGAACAAATATTTACCAGAGGTGGTGTTGGCATGAATGAAGTTACTATAAAAACAAAGCTCATTCTTAATGACTTTCTTACCACAAAAAGCAACCCTGAGGAGCAGAATCCAATAGCCTTCTTTATCTGAGCAACATGTTACTTGATGTGAGATGCTGCGATTTCAACAGGAGCATTCTCTAACTCAAACATTACTCAATTTTCAACCAGTGTAACAGAATCCACCTCGAAATGTTTAGCTGTATAAACCAAACACTGTAAATTGATTGTCACTTGAGTGATTTCCCACTAGATTACAAGAACGACTCTGGTTACAGTCAAAAAGGAATTAATTGCAACAGTTTAGTTCTCTTATCCTCAGAGGTCAGATTTCATTTCCAGCTCCTAGGATTTGGAAAATACATATTTGCACATCCATATTTTCTGAAACAGACACACCTACAGAAATTATCTAATTGCCTTTTAACTGTAAGGCTAAGAAGGTTACGGCTCTCAGAGGAAGACACAGCAGTCTCTGTTTAAAACCAAACAGAAAACTCAACAAAAACACTGTTTCACCAACAATGTGCAAATTGGGTATGTGGAAACATGCTGCAAGCTGAAGAACCTAAGGCCAAAAGATCAATAGGTACCAACAGAGCTGGGATTCTCAAAATCAGAGCAGTTAACAGGTTAGCTTTCGGCCAAGGGTCTTGCTATGTCTAACCACGTGAATTCTGTGAATTTTGCAATTGCTCTCCTCGGCCCTGGAAAAGAAACACTCACAATGGAGAAAAGAATGACGATTACAGCAAGGAGGGCCCTAAGCCAGAGATCCGTCCTCTCAGCAATGTACACACATGCTTATATTCCCTCATGACAAATGGTCCCAGCAACGCATGAGGCAAAAGCCACACATCTGCAGGGACCTAAAAATATATTTCATTTCAGGGACCACAGCACGCTGAGGCTTGCATCAGGCATGGTTGGGGGGAGTAAAGGTTTCCTTAGAGATCCCGCAAAAATTAGAAAAAAAAGCATTTTGGAAAGCATTCATGGAGGGGAAACACCATTCTCCTTTCTTAAACAAAAAGCAATAATGAAAAACAACGGTGCGTTTTCCCCTCATTTACGCATTTCGAGCATCGGGTCCCGTCTCACGACCAAGGTCACGCTGCCACGGCCAGTACCGCGAGGGGAGGATGATTTCAGCAGCAGCAGCAGGAGGAGGAGGAAGGTTGCCCAGCGCGCTGCCGGGTGCTGTGGG